AAAGTATTTAAATTTTGACAAATTGTGGTATTCAGCTAACTGAATTCCAAAATTTTTTCGAATGTACTGGGTATTAGAGATTTGCCATTAAAATGTTTTAATTTTGACAAATTGTAGTATTCAGCTAGCTGAATTCCAATATTTTTTCGAAAACTCAAAATTCAACTTGCTGAATTGTAATAGAATGTGCTGAGTATTAGGGATTTGCAATTAAAATTTTTAAATTTTGACAAATTGTGGTATTCAGCTAGCTGAATTCCAAAATTTTTTCGAAAACTCAAAATTCAACTTGCTGAATTGTAATAGAATGTGCTGAGTATTAGGGATTTGCAATTACAATTTTTAAATTTTGACAAATTGTGGTATTCAGCTAGCTGAATTTCAAAATTTTTTCGAAAACTCAAAATTCAACTTGCTGAATTGTAATAGAATGTGCTGAGTATTAGGGATTTGCAATTAAAATTTTTAAATTTTGACAAATTGTGGTATTCAGATAGCTGAATTCCAAAATTTTTTCGAAAACTCAAAATTCAACTTGCTGAATTGTAATAGAATGTGCTGAGTATTAGGGATTTGCAATTAAAATTTTTAAATTTTGACAAATTGTGGTATTCAGCTAGCTGAATTCCAAAATTTTTTCGAAAACTCAAAATTCAACTTGCTGAATTGTAATAGAATGTGCTGAGTATTAGGGATTTGCAATTAAAATTTTTAAATTTTGACAAATTGTGGTATTCAGCTAGCTGAATTCCAAACTTTTTTCGAAAACTCAAAATTCAACTTGCTGAATTGTAATAGAATGTGCTGAGTATTAGGGATTTGCAATTAAAATTTTTAAATTTTGACAAATTGTGGTATTCAGCTAGCTGAATTCCAAAATTTTTTCGAAAACTCAAAATTCAACTTGCTGAATTGTAATAGAATGTGCTGAGTATTAGGGATTTGCAATTAAAAATTTTAAATTTTGACAAATTGTGGTATTCAGCTAGCTGAATTCCAAAATTTTTTCGAAAACTCAAAATTCAACTTGCTGAATTGTAATAGAATGTGCTGAGTATTAGGGATTTGCAATTAAAATTTTTAAATTTTGACAAATTGTAGTATTCAGCTAGCTGAATTCCAAAATTTTTTCGAAAACTCAAAATTCAACTTGCTGAATTGAAATAGAATGTGCTGAGTATTAGGGATTTGCAATTAAAATTTTTAAATTTTGACAAATTGTGGTATTCAGCTAGCTGAATTCCAAAATTTTTTCGAAAACTCAAAATTCAACTTGCTGAATTGTAATAGAATGTGCTGAGTATTAGGGATTTGCAATTAAAATTTTTAAATTTTGACAAATTGTGGTATTCAGCTAGCTGAATTCCAAAATTTTTTCGAAAACTCAAAATTCAACTTGCTGAATTGTAATATAATGTGCTGAGTATTAGGGATTTGCAATTAAAATGTTTAAATTTTGACAAATTGTGGTATTCAGCTAGCTGAATTCCAAAATTTTTTTGAAATCTAAAAATTCAACTTGCTGAATTGAAATAGAGAGTACTGAGTATTACTGATTTGTAAATACAATTTTTAAATTTTGACAAATTGTGGTATTCGGCTAGCTGAATTCCAAAATTTTTTCGAAAACTCAAAATTCAACTTGCTGAATTGAAATAAAATGTACTGAGTATTACTGATTTGCAAATAAAGTATTTAAATTTTTACAAATTGTGGTATTCAGCTAGCTGAATTCCAAAATTTTTTCGAAAACTCAAAATTCAACTTGCTGAATTGAAATAGAATGTAATGAGTATTACTGATTTGCAGATAAAGTATTTAAATTTTGACAAATTGTGGTATTCAGCTAGCTGAATTCCAAAATTTTTTCGAAAACTCAAAATTCAACTTGCTGAATTGAAATATAATGTACTGAGTATTAGAGATTTGCCATTAAAATTTTTTAATTTTGACAAATTGTGGTATTCAGCAAGCTGAATTCCAAAATATATTCGAAAACTCAAAATTCAACTTGCTGAATTGTAATAGAATGTGCGGAGTATTACTGATTTGTAAATACAATTTTTAAATTTTGACAAATTGTGGTATTCGGCTAGCTGAATTCCAAAATTTTTTCGAAAACTCAAAATACAACTTGCTGAATTGAAATAGAATGTACTGAGTATAAGTGATTTGCAAATAAAGTATTTAAACTTTGGCAAATTGTGGTATTCAGCTAGCTGAATTCCAATATTTTTTCGAAAACTAAAAATTCAACTTGCTAAATTAAAATAGAATGTACTGATTATTAGCGATTTGCAAATAAAGTATTTTAAGTTTGGCAAATTGTGGTATTCAGCTAGCTGAATTCCAATATTTTTTCGAAAACTCAAAATTCAACTTGCTGAATTGAAATAGAATGTACTGGGTATTAGAGATTTGCATTAAATTTTTTTTAATTTTGACAAATTGTGGTATTCAGCTAGCTGAATTCCAAAATTTTTTCGAAAACTCAAAACTCAACTTGCTAAATTGATATATAGTGCGCTGAGTATTAGAGATTCGCAATTAAAATTTTTTAATTTTGACACATTGTGGTATTCAGCTAGCTGAATTCCAAAATTTTTTCGAAAACTCAAAATTCAACTTGCTGAATTGAAATGGAATGTACTGAGTATAAGTGATTTGCAATTAAAATTTTTTAATTTTGACAAATTGTGGTATTTAGCTAACTGATTTCCAAAATATTTTTGAAAATTCAAAATTCAACTTGCTGAATTGCAATAGAATGTACTGAGTGTTACTGACTTGCAATTAAAATTTTTAAATTTTGTCAAATTGTGGTATTCAGCTAGCTGAATTCCAAAATTTTTTCGAAAACTCAAAATTCAACTTGCTGAATTGAAATAGACTGTACTGAGTATTACTGAATTGCAAATACAATTTTTAAATTTTGACAAATTGTGGTATTCGGCTAGCTGAATTCCAAATTTTTTTCGAAAACTCAAAATTCAACTTGCTGAATTGTAATGGAATGTGCTGAGTATTAGGGATTTGCAATTAAAATTTTTAAATTTTGTCAAATTGTGGTATTCAGCTAGCTGAATTCCAAAATTTTTTCGAAAACTAAAAATTCAACTTGCTGAATTGAAATAGAGTGTACTGAGTATTACTGATTTGCAAATACAATTTTTAAATTTTGACAAATTGTGGTATTCGGCTAGCTGAATTCCACATTTTTTTCGAAAACTCAAAATTCAACTTGCTGAATTGTAATAGAATGTGCTGAGTATTAGGGATTTGCAATTAAAATTTTTAAATTTTGACAAATTGTGGTATTCAGCTAGCTGAATTCCAATATTTTTTCGAAAACTCAAAATTCAACTTGCTTAATTGAAGTAGAATGTGCGGATTATTAGAGATTTGCCATTAACATTTTTTAATTTTGACAAATTGTGGTATTCGGCTAGCTGAATTCCACATTTTTTTCGAAAACTCAAAATTCAACTTACTGAATTGATATATAGTGTGCTGAGTATTAGAGATTCGCAATTAAAATTTTTTAATTTTGACAAATTGTGGTATTCAGCTAGCTGAATTCCAAAATTTGTTCGAAAACTCAAAATTCAACTAGCTGAATTGAAATAGAATGTACTGGGTATTAGAGATTTGCCATTAAATCTTTTTAATTTTGACAAATTGTGGTATTCAGCTAGCTGAATTCCAAAATATTTTCGAAAATTCAAAATTCAACTTGCTGAATTGCAATAGAATGTACTGATTATTAGTGATTTGCAACTAACATTTTTAAATATTGACAAATTGTGGTATTCAGCTAGCCGAATTCCAAAATATTTTCGAAAACTCAAAATTCAACTTGCTGAATTTCAATAGAATTTACTGAGTATAAGTGTTATAACCCAAACCAAAATGCCTTTCCAATGACTTGGCAATATATTCATATTACAATTATCGTATTCATATTACAATTATCGTACCATCTGTCATTTAGAAAAAAAGCCACACCCTTCTTGCAAATCACACAATCGATCGTATTTCAAATCATACGATCGAATCAAAAGACCAATAAATAATCATACGATGTATCTAGAATTAAAATAAACAATTATGTATAGTGCACTCATTCACAAATAAAGATTTAGTTCTATTCCAGCAGCAAACTTTAATTGACGTGTTATTTTTTAACGCGAGTTTCGCCAAAGGGAGGAAACTCACTTTAGTTTTTAAAAAATATAATACTATTAAGAATGATTATAATTGGCGCAGTCGGTAGGATTACCATGATCGTTTGGTAGTCCGTGAAACGAAATCCTACGTAAAAGGATAAGTCCTCCGGAAAGGGACAATAAACTTAGTGATTAAAGAAACATTTTAGTGAATAGTAAAAAAGAAACAAGTTAACAAAATTACGTTAAACAAGAAAACTAGGAAAAGTTAAAAGTGGACATCACATCCTAATAAGAGAGAAATAAATTTTTAAGATTAACAAATTGTTACAAATTTAAAAAAGCAAATAATTACAATATAAGAAATAATTACGAAACTTAAAAAATGAAAGTGGTAAAACATTAGAGGAAAACTAAAAAACATTAAAAGACTTACAAATAGCCAAAAAATAGCAACGAAGTGAAATTTGGAACATTAATAAGATTATAAAAAAATTGAAACAAAATGAATAACGCAAATCAACCAGCCCTTAACCCAGCGCAAAACAACATACAATTACGTACGCTGGACATCAATCCCCTTACATATATTGAAAAATTAAGGGAATTTGATGGGAAGAAGGAAGACCTCACAACATTCATAACAAATGTAGATGACATAATTCCTACATTAATGTTATACAACGAACAAGCTCAAAGAATGTGTATGAACATCGTAAAATCAAAACTAACTGGAAACGCCAGAAGAGCAATGGAGGTTCATCCCCATTTGACCCTTTGGACTGACATAAAAGCGATGCTAAATACCAACTTTGGTGGCTTTGCCATTGTGGACCAATTATATCAGGAACTGAGAGCAGCGCAGTATAAAGGAGATACTATGGATTTCTACAACCACATCCAACACAAACTAGCAATTCTTAACCAAAAATGTGGTCAGGAGAATCGATTGGATGAAGTCGATAGGAATATCCAAACTGGTCTGAAGACTTTTATAACACGTCTTCCAATCCATATGAGGACTGTATTATGCGCATTAAAACCACAAAGTATGGAGGAAGCTTTGCATGAATTGAGCTCTGCGGGATTCCTGAACAACGAAAAGAAGAAGGACAAACCACAACCAAGTCCCCAACAACAACATTGGCAACCAAAAATAATGCAGCCACGGTCAACAGCAACATTGGCAACCAACGATAATGCAGCCACATTACCAACAACAACAACAACATTGGCAACCAAAAATAATGCAGCCACATTACCAACAACAGCAACATTGGCAACCAAGGATAATGCAGCCACATTACCAACAACAACAACATTGGCAGCCGAGAATTGTACAACCAAATTTCCAGCAACATGGATCGCAACAACCTTACTACAAGCCTCAGCAACCACAAATCAGACAACAGCCTCCAACATCATATCAACAAAAGCATGAATCAATGGATGTTGATGCATCTCAACAATCAAAAAGGCAGACACACCACCAGGAGCAGAAATCATGTAAGAATTTAGAAGGTATTAACAATAAAATAGAGATAAGCGAAATGTATCAAGATGATTTGTATCAAGACAGTGTATATCAGGATAATAAAGAAGATCAATACAGTTCTGAATATGAGTATGGTACTAATGAAAATTTTGAAGCCAAAGCGGAAAATTTTCGGTTAGTTCCTTACAAGGAGCCACCGGACTTCCCTATATCATACTCAAAGGAAGATCAAGGAAAACAAGATTATTAATTGACACGGGTTCCACAGAAAATCTAATATGTAAAGATCATTGTCCTCCACAGTATATAAAAAATTCTCACACTCCAATATACATTAAAACTGCAGCAGGTGTCATTACGGTTGACCGCAATGCCCATTTTCCAAAAAATTCTATTAAGATTCCCCTTAATTCAGGTACAACATTTAGGGTGTATACCTTTCACAAATTCTTCGATGGAATATTAGGCAACCAAACATTACAAGAAAATTGTTCTGTAATTGATTATAGGAAAAAAGAAGTAAGTATTAACGGTCAAAAGTTCAGGATATATTTTGAAGGAGATTCTGAAGATGACGAATTTTCACTACAAACATTGCCAGAACTCCATCATATTAACATACTAGGAATTACTGAGCAGCTAAGGACAGACCACCTAAATACAGAAGAAAAATCAGAGCTCCAAAGATTAATAACTAAATATGAAAATGCCTTTTACCATCCGGGAGATGATCTGACCTTTACCAATGAGATAAAGCACAAGATAGAAACAGGAGATCATGGCCCTGTATATACGAAATCATATAGGTATCCAGCAATACATACTGAAGAGGTAGATCGACAAATGAATGAAATGCTAGAACAAGGTATAATAAAGCATAGTTCATCTCCATATAATTCTCCTATCTGGGTAGTACCCAAGAAGGAAGATAAAGTAGGAAACAAGGAATGGAGAATTGTTATAGACTATAGAAAATTGAATGCTATCACTGAAGATGATAGATATCCAATACCAGTAATTGACGACATACTAGATAAACTAGGTCGAGCTAACTATTTCACAACATTGGACTTAACAAAGGGATTTTATCCGATTGAGGTAGATCCAAAAGATAGGGAAAAAACAGCATTCTCTACAACAAATGGACATTATGAATTTATAAGAATGCCATTCGGTCTAAAGAATGCTCCGGCAACTTTTCAGCGAATGATGAACAACGTGCTCAGAGAGCATATAAACAGGATATGTGTGGTATACATGGGTGATATTTTAGTATTTTCGACTTCATTACAGGAGCATATGGAAAACTTGGGAAAAGTTTTGAAAACATTAGAAGTTGCAAATCTAAAAGTATCCTTAAATAAATCAGACTTCTTGAAAAAAGAGACTGAATTTTTAGGACATGTAGTGACTAATAATGGGATAAAACCAAACCCGAATAAAATAAGATGTATTAAGGAGTTCCCCATACCAAAAGATGTTAAGGAAATACAAAGTTTTCTGGGATTAACGGGTTATTACAGAAAGTTTATCCCAAGTTATGCAAAAATTGCAAAACCCTTGACCATGAGACTTAAAAAAGATGCAATAATTAATACTGAAGATGCTGACTATGTACAAGCATTTAAGAAGTTACAACAGATTCTGATGTCCGATATGGTACTTCAATACCCGGATTTTGAAAAGAGTTTTACTCTGACTACCGATGCTAGTAATTATGCATTAGGAGCCGTCCTGTCACAAAGCAATGGACCAATAGCGTTTGCTTCACGCACTTTAAACCGTCATGAGATTAATTATTCCACAGTTGAAAAAGAATTACTTGCAATTGTTTGGGCAGTTAAGCAATTCAGACATTATCTTTACGGTAGGAAATTCGAACTAAGAACCGATCATAAACCCCTTATATGGCTGGCAAATCTTAAGGACCCTAATTCCAAACTAATCCGTTGGAAAATAAGGTTAAATGAATACGAATTTGACATCAAACATGTAGAAGGAAAGGATAATAAAGTAGCTGATGCTCTCTCAAGAATTATAGAAGTTAATGCAATCACAGCTAAAAGAAAACATAAATGTGAGATATGTAATAAAATGTTTAGTAAGAAGAATCTGCTTAGGAAACATTTGGATGAACATTTAAAGAAAAGACCACCTTCACCTACTTCTACAATACACAGTGCTGACGAAGATGGCCATAATTTCTTTAAGATATCAGAGAAACCTCTTCAGCACTACAAGAACCAAATAAAAATTGACAATTCCAAGGACAATAAGACGACACATGAACGGATATTTGATAGGAATAGGAAAATATACGCTTATGAAACATTCGACGACGAATTAATATCACGAATATTGAATGAAGCCATGGAAAATAATCTTTCAGCATTGTATTGTGAGGATACGGAAATTTTATTGAAATTACAGGAAAAATATAAAACCACAAAAGATAATCCTTTAAATACAAAACAATTTGAAATCATATTAACAACTAAATTTCTGCAAGATGTTAGATACGAAGAACTCCTAGAAATCATAAATAGACACCACCGATTTGAAAACAATCATCCAGGAATAGATAAAACATATATTGAATTAAAAAGGAAATACTATTATCCGAATATGAAAAAGGAAATTGTTAAAATTATAAATAACTGCGTTATATGTAATTTCAAAATAGAAAGAAACCCCGTCAAATTACCATTCGAGAAAACGGAAACACCACATGGACCTTATGTTCATTACCACTTGGATATTTGGTATCTTAATAACCAAATATTTTATTTGACCATGATTGACAAATTTACAAAATATGCAGCAATGGAAGAATTATCTGACAAAACACCATTACAGGCTATAAAAGCTGTAAATAAATTGTTCCTCATCATGAAGAAACCCCAAAAGATTACTATGGATAATGACCCGACGTTTTCTAATCCAGTATTTACGGGACACCTTGAAGATAATGATATTCAGTATCACTTTACAACACCTCATAGACATACTGGTAATTCGGACATTGAACGTTTTCATAGCAGTTTAAATGAGAATATTAGAATATTAAAAATTAGGGAGGAAAATAATGATGTAGCATACAACTATGATTTACCTTTGCAGGCATTACAGGCATACAACAATAGTTTACATCTTTCTACGAAACAGAAACCCATTGACCTTCATTTTTATAACTCAGATATTCATATGGAAAAAGTTTATAATGAAATTGAAACAGCAAAGGAAAAGATGTTAAAATACAGAAATAAAGAAAGAAAGGATGAAGATATTAATCCTAAATTTGGAAGAACAGCAATCCCTCATAAGACCGAGACTAAAATAAAACAGTTGACTACACGGAAAATTAATGACAAAAAATATAAATTAGATAACCGAAATACAATACTTCATAAAGACCAGTTCATTAAAAGGAAATGTCTTTCCAGGTCTCTGGAAGTCCTTGCTGGCGATTTTCTTGATGATATCCCCAGTGGTAGCGCAGAAGCTCGAGGTAGTCGATTTGAATAAAGGCAACGGATATGCAATGATACAACTTAATGACAAAATGTTAATAGATGACTATATTAAAATTCTTCACATATTTAACACCACAAAATATATGGATTTTTTGAATGAATTGGGAGAGGAAGTTTCGCATATTAATGATTCATTTTTATCGCATGAAATCGAGCACATACATTTACGACTTAAAAGTATTATTCCCCATCCAGCTAGAAATAGAAGAGGTTTAATTAATCTTTTTGGTACAGGATTAAAATATCTATATGGTACAATGGATAATAATGATAGAGAAGAGATTGAAAGACAACTGCAAAATTTGGAGAAGAATGAACATAATATAATAACGCAAACTAATAATCAAATACACATAAATACACAATTTGACAATCAATTAGCTAACTTAACAAAATTATATAATGACCAAACAAAACTGTTGATTAAGAGCATGTCAAACGTTAAATCAATTAAAGATAACACAGCAAAAGCTGATAAAGTTTACCGTCTTAAATACCAAATTGATCATATGGGCAAATTATTAGATAAAGTAAGAGACCTAATCTTGGCTTCCAAATTAAATATTCTCACTCGAGATATCCTGAGTGATGAAGAAATTAGAATATATAATATAACCATAGATAAAATGAAAGAAATTAAGATGAATTTAGCCCTTTACAAAAATAATATAGTATTTGTCTTAAAAGTACCCCAATATAATCCTAAAATATTCCAAGAAGTATATATTCAACCAATACCTAATAAAGAAAAAATGCAAATTAATATTGCAGAAAAATTGTATATCACAAAAGATAATAAAATTTATTATGATGTTAATGAAACACCAAATCTAAGGGAAGTTGAGGATGATTGTATATCCAATCTGTTTAATTATAAGCTCATGAAATGTCATTATATACAAAATACTAAACCAAAAGTTGTCGAAATTGGCTTAAATATTATAATTGCTATAAATACTAATCAAATTGTTAATCATACATGTAACAAATACCCATTAAAATTATCTGGAAATCACATGCTGATCATAGAAAATTGCAAAGTAAAATTGGACAAATGGTACAATAAAGTAATGTTTCAAAACATGTTAATAATTCCAAATCCCTACAGAGACATACATATGATAAATGATTCATATGATTCTTTAGAGGAAATACAGTATCATCATATTAAAAATACCGAATTCATATCAGAAATAAAATTTGAACAGAAAGTAACTAATTACACAGTAATAGTCTTGACAGCTGTAATTATACTTATTATAGCATTGTATCTGTATGTAAAATATAGATCAAGCACAGTAAAAGTAACTATGCCCTTCCCCTCAGCTCCTTTGGAACACGGGAAAGAGTCTTCGTCCGGGGGTGTTATAACCCAAACCAAAATGCCTTTCCAATGACTTGGCAATATATTCATATTACAATTATCGTATTCATATTACAATTATCGTACCATCTGTCATTTAGAAAAAAAGCCACACCCTTCTTGCAAATCACACAATCGATCGTATTTCAAATCATACGATGTATCTAGAATTAAAATAAACAATTATGTATATTGCACTCATTCACAAATAAAGATTTAGTTCTATTCCAGCAGCAAACTTTAATTGACGTGTTATTTTTTAACGCGAGTTTCACCAAAGGGAGGAAACTCACTTTAGTTTTTAAAAAATATAATACTATTAAGAATGATTATAATTTAAGTGATTTGCAATTAAAATTTTTAAATTTTGACAAGTTGTCGTATTCAGCTACCTAAATTTCAAAATTTTTTCGAAAACTCAAAATTCAACTTGCTGAATTGATATATAGTGTACTGAGTTTTACTGATTTGCGATTAAAGTTCTTAAATTTTGGCAAATTCTGGTATTCAGCAAGCTGAATTCCAAAATTTTTTCGAAAAATCAAAATACAACTTGCTGAATTGAAATAGAATGTACTGAGTATTAGTGATTTGCAATGAAAATTTTTAAATTTTGACAAATTGTGGTATTCAGCTAGCTGAATTCCAAAATTTTTTCGAAAACTCAAAATTCAACTTGCTGAATTGTTATAGAATGTGCTGAGTATTATGTGATTTGCAATTAGAATTTTTAAATTTTGTCAAATTGTGGTATTCAGCTAGCTGAATTCCAAAATTTTTTCGAAAACTCAAAATTCAACTTGCTGAATTGAAATACAATGTACTGAATATTAAGGATTTGCAATTAAAATGTTTAAATTTTGACAAATTGTGGTATTCACCAAGCTGAATTCCAACATTTTTTCGAAACCACAAAATGTAACTTGCCGAATTGTAATAGAATGTGCTGAGTATTAGGAATTCGCAATTAAAATTTTTAAATTATGACAAATTGTGGTATTCAGCTAGCTGAATTCCAAAATTTTTTCGAAAACTCAAAATTCAATTTGCTGAATTGCAATAGAATGTACTGAGTGTAAGTGATTTGCAATTAAAATTTTTAAATTTTGACAAATTGTGGTATTCAGCTAGCTGAATTCCAAAATTTTTTCGAAAACTCAAAATTCAACTTGCTGAATTGATATATAGTGTACTGAGTTTTACTGAGTTGCGATTAAAGTTTTTAAATTTTGGCAAATTCTGGTATTCAGCAAGCTGAATTCCAAAATTTTTTCGAAAACTCAAAATTCAGCTTGCTAAATTGAAATAGAATGTACTGAGTATTAGTGATTGGAAATTTAATTTTTTTGATTTTGACCACTTGTAGTATTTAGCTAGCTAAATTCCAATTAAAAAAAAAAAATTAAATTCAACTTACTGAATACGCTGAGTATTAGAGATTTGAAGCCGGTAATTAAAGAAAACTGTTTCCAAAGTCGTGAATTTACTATCATGTTCATGTTATGTTAAAAGATTTATATTTAACATTATTCAATGTGTTTTTGGATATCGGTCGGATAGTTATTTACCGAAGACTCTACTTGAGTCACAACTCTATACGGAGCTGGTCCATTATAAATTTGAGCAAAATGTTTCCACAAGATATCCAGTTTTTCATTTTCATTATTAACGACAACGTCATTTACCGATAATTTGTTATCTATCAACTTCCTGGATTTCCCTATTAATCCGCAAATTTGCCTATATGCATAAGGGCCTGGTTTAATGTTCCAAAGTTTTTCATCAAACATTATTTTAAAAAGATGTTGCACCTCCCTAGATATTTTATATTTCCTACTTCTCATACTAATTATTTTTGAATGTAGCGAGGAAGCAAAATTTATTTTTGTATGGAAGTGATCAATATTTGTGCCAATCTCACTGTTTGAAAGATTTGAATATAAATCAGCTCTAAACTGACTCCAGTTAGTATCTTCAAACAACATTAATACTTGGGACTCTCTTATAATAGCCTCAAGATCTTCGAATTTCAGTTCTAATTTGAATGCATAATAATCTGAAAATGTTGATAAACTTTTTATGCGGAAATTTGGCTGAAGAATATTAACTAAATTTTTACTGGCTAAAAATGGTCAAGAAATTGGAAATGATGGCACAGAATCGCACAATCTCCGTTAGAATATAGCATAATGCTATGTTACGATATGGTGATATAGTGAATGAAATATCCCATCTTATGTCTTCGATTGAAATGAACCACCAAATTTAATTTGAAAACAAAAAAAATGTACTATTGTGATTCTTCTCTTTCCCCGTCTATTGTGATTTACTCTGGGTAGGTTTATTGTGCATTAATCTACGCCTCAAACCGAAGTACTGTTTAGTATTTAAATACATAAAAATCATTCATTTACATTATGTACAGTATTTGTAGCACATGCTTATTGTGATTCATTCCTGACTATTTTTATTGTGATTGAAGTCTCTACTATGTATCACCAGATGGCTATGTGTGGTGTATATTTTGCCTATTCAACTGTAGATTGTGAGAATGACATTCGTCGGCTTGTTTATATTTCACAACAGGCAACACATAAAATGCTGTCGTCACGTAAGAAATATATCAGAGTCTACCCTTATACATTGACTATGCCCAGAACAGGGCCGACATGACTATTTTTTTAACTCACGATTGTTGGAGTAGTCCAAAGTATAAACTCTAAAATCTCTATTTTATATATTGGGAAATATATCTTAAGATAATATGGTTCCTTTGTATATAGCCAAGTCTATATAAAGGTCTTAAAAAAGCTTTATCCGTAGAACCGAAACTCTTTGGGGTTTTTATATTCTCAGCCATATGGCTAGAGAGGGTATATATCATTTGATACGGCCAAAACGTGCCTCATCGAATTACGGTTTTAGACCCTAGGTCTCTTTGGACCATATCCGTTTCAGGACATTTAGAGTCGATCTAGCGATGTCCGCCCCTCTGTCTCTCTAAGGGAGTATTCGATTCGGTCCAAACTTGATACATGGTAATATCAAACGTAGATCGAGTTCGGAGAGGAGCAATATCTGTCTAATCCTTTTGGTACCTCCCACACAAAAAACTTTTGAAAGAAAATATTTTACTGCACAGAAAGAGAAAGGATTATCTGAACTTGCTCCAACTTTGAAAATCCTAATATTTCCATCAGTGCTAGATCAGGTGCGTAAATGAACAATATCGGTCCTCCATTAAGTGCCTCCCCCACAAAGGGTCAACATTTTGAATATTTAAAACTTATAAAATGTGATGTACGAGTCCTATTGTCTTCACACATCACAATATTTTTATTAACCCGAGGTCTGGTGTGAAGATGGAATATATCGGTCCACTTCTTCTGGTACCCCCATTCAGAGTTGGCACATCGCAATATTTCCATCAACACAAGATCTGTTGTAAAGATGGTAGAGATCGGACCATTTCTTCTGAGACATCTCCCGCAAAGGGTCAAAGTTTTGAATAACCAAAACGATCATAATATCTGAAATAAGCATCCGATTGTCTTCAAATTACACACATCACAATATTTTCTGATACTTTCAATAATTATATCTGTCACAGATTGGGAAACAAGTCAGCGATTCTTTAAAACTTGCTATAACTACATATCTACACAGAAATCTGATATGAATTATGATTTCGCATAAAATTGGATCTAAATGTTCGATTTCCTTCAAATTATTATTAGATGAAGTATGAAAATTGAGTACTTCTGTTACCGCACGCATATTTCCACATTTTCCAAAAATTGCACATACCTCATACAAAGTATA